CTGCTGAAAGGAATGAACAGGAGTCCAGTCTTCAGGCAGTGTGAAGTGCCATCCTGAGGAGCCCTTAGGCTGGCAGCAGGGCGGGTGAAGCCACGCAGGGGTTATACACCTATAACTGAGCACTTGGCACATGTGCTGCGGGTAACCTTGGTGTTTTTGTGCCCTTTATTACCACAGGGGCTCTTGTCTGTTGGGGGTTGAGATTTTCAGGGTCTGCTTTTGATATGGGATTTTGTTGGCTGCTCTGGCAAGTGCCCAGGTGCCTCCCATTCTGAGAGGTGCCCTCCTAGGGAGAGGAAATGGAAAGCTTTGGGCTGGCACCCCTCCGCTTTCTGTTCCCTTCCTTGCACAGTCAGGAGAGGCGCTGAGCTCTGCCAGCCTTCCCGCAGAAGTGATCTGTGGGCAGGAGGTGCGTGTGTCTTGCAACCCCAGCTGCCAGCTGCAGCTCTTTGCTCTTAAGTGGGAGCTAAATCAGCTTTCCTCAGTGCTGGGGCTGTGGGGGTGTTGGAGGTCAGTGCTTGTTCTGGCCTTTTTGTCTGCTGTCCACGTGGGCCTCCCGCCCTGGCTGCCGCACACCGTGTCGCAGAGGCGGGGGCACGTGCCCTGGGATTTGCCTGCTGCCAAAAGGAGAGGAGAAGATGACGGGGTAGCCAGTTGCAGCCTGTCTCTGGCTGCCTGAAGCTTATGCCTGCTAGCAGCCTGCAGAAATATTGCTGAAGCGCACGGTTTCTTGTTTCTCCTTCTGTGCAGGGCTGCAGAAGCAGGACTATGTCCACCATGGTGTACCCAAGGGAGGAGAAACTGGACAAGCTGAGCCAAGAGGAGATTATTTCCAACACCAAGCTGGTGATGCAAGGTCTGGAGGCACTCAAGAATGAACACAACTCCATCCTGCACAGCTTGCTGGAGACCATCAAGTGCCTGAAGAAGGATGAAGAAGCCAACCTTGTGCATGAGAAATCCAACCTGCTCCGCAAGTCAGTGGAGATGATAGAACTGGGGCTCGGGGAAGCTCAGGTGAGAGTGTCAAGGGCCCTTGCAGGTGGTGGCCAGGGCTCCTGGGGCAGGCAGACGCTTGGCTGTGCTCTGTACACATCAGGCATGAGAGCTGAATGTGGAAGGCCAAGACTGGCATTGAGGGTGGGCCCAGAACGTGCATGCTGGGGAGGGGATGGGGAATAGAGGGTCGTGGTAGGTACTGACTGACCAATTGGGATTTTTGGCAAGGTGATGATGGCCTTGTCCAATCACCTGAATGCTGTGGAGTCAGAGAAGCAGAAGCTACGTGCTCAGGTGCGAAGGCTGTGCCAGGAAAATCAGTGGCTGCGTGATGAGCTTGCCAACACCCAGCAGAAGCTGCAGCGCAGCGAGCAGACCGTGGCACAGCTGGAGGAGGAGAAGAAACACCTTGAATTCATGAACCAGCTGAAGAAGTATGATGAGGATGTCTCGCCTTCGGTATGCCCTTGTCTGGGGGAACAGCTGCCTGGGGAGAGGATAGGATTGGGACCAGTGGGATTGTCTAGGTTTAATAGCCACATCCTTTGCCAGCTTCCTTGTCCAGCAGCTCTTGCAACCAAAGGGACATTGCATGGGGCAGGATTTCGGGCAGACCTTGGGGAAGGGTGCCAGGGTACACTGGGGAATATTGCATTGGCTTCACTGCATGGGAAAGTGGCAGAGATCCCAGAGAAGCTGAGGGCCTTGGGCTGCAGAGTGGAGGAGAGGTTAGTAGCGCATTTGTCCCAGGATGCTGCTATCTCTGAGAACCAACAGCATTGTGATCCCTGTTCCTTTTAGGAGGAGAAGGAGGGTGATTCCACCAAGGACTCTCTGGATGATCTGTTTCCAAATGAGGAGGAGGAGCATGGTCCTGGATGTAAGTGTTTGTGCTCGTGCATGGTTGCTGCCAACCTCTGTTTCAGCCTGTTTGCCCAACATGCCCCTGCTTGTTCTTCCGTGCCCACAGTGCCCCATCAACATAGCAGTGCAGTGGCAGCTGCCCAGCAGGGAGGCTATGAGATCCCCGCGCGCTTGCGCACCCTTCACAACCTTGTCATCCAGTACGCCTCACAAGGACGCTACGAGGTGGCCGTGCCGCTCTGCAAGCAAGCGCTGGAGGACCTGGAGAAGACATCAGGCCATGACCACCCCGACGTGGCTACCATGCTCAACATCCTGGCTCTGGTGTACAGGTGAGCATGGTGGGGAGGGCAAGACTGGGTCATCGGAGCTTTCTGCCTGTTCCCTTTGCCAGAACAAGAGTTGTGGTGGCAAGGAGCTCCTCTAGCATCTAGGGGTTTGCTTTTTTGAAAGGATTTTGGCCTAGATGAAGGATTCGGACTGCCAAGCTCCTCCAGCATAAACAGGGAGTGGCAACATAGGGATGAAGGGAGAAGTGGAAGGGCTGTGGGAGCAGGATCTGTGTGAAAGTAGGACTGTTGCTTGCCATAGGCTGTGGTGACCCAACACCAGAACTGATAAACTTTGTACTTCAGGGATCAGAATAAATACAAAGAGGCAGCACACCTGCTGAATGATGCGCTCTCCATCCGTGAGAAGACCCTGGGCAAAGATCACCCAGCGGTGAGTGTCTCCCTTCTTTGGTTGCTTCCCTTACCCAGTGGGCCACAATGGGCCTGGAATAGTGCCCTGCTTCCCCTCAGGGGGTATCTGTGGCCAAACTCTTTTGTGCTGGGCTGCTCTGGAGCGCAGTGTGCCCTGTGGTGTGAAGGGTGCCACTCTCGAAGTGTTGGACGCTTTTATGGCTTGTCAGGGGTAAATGGCTTCTCCTGGATGGATCCCCTGATTCAGACAGGGTAGCCTTGCGTCTCTGGAGCCTTTCCTCTGGAAGCAGCTGTGCTGCAGGGATAAAGTAAATGGGACAGTTACCGGTGTTGCCATGCAGTCCCCTTTGATCCTGCTTTGTTTCACAGAGAAGCTTATGTCCCTGCAGGTGGCAGCAACCTTGAACAATCTGGCTGTTCTCTATGGCAAGAGAGGGAAGTACAAAGAAGCAGAGCCGTTATGCAAGCGAGCCTTGGAGATCCGTGAGAAGGTACCAGCCCCCCATGCTCTCCTTCCAGCTCTCTTAAGCTCTTTCCCCAGTACTTCACTGCCTCTGGGAGATACAGAACACAGTATTTCTTAAAAGAAGGGGTGATCCTTTGGCTTGAAAAGTGGCTGTTGCCTTCATCTAGTCTGTTCCTGGTGTTGATTATGCTAGTAACTTGTCTGTCTCTCCAGTGTTGTTTCCAGTTAGAGGGTCTGGAAAGAGGTGGAAGGCTTTATTTTTCCTCTTAGCTTCTGTTGTCCTTGGCTCCTGGATAGCATAGACACATCCTAAAGACTGCAGTGCCTGTTTACTCCCTTGCTGTCATTTCTAGTGTGTCGGATAGGAAATGAACATGAGAGAGCAACCTGGCTAGGGCCAGAGCTACCTGACTCTCCCCAGGAACGTACTGCAGTGTTTGTGTAGTCAAATTGTGGCTTCTGAAGTTTTGTGGCTTCTCTTCTCTGGCTACCCTAGGTCCTAGGCAAAGACCATCCTGATGTGGCCAAGCAGCTGAACAACCTAGCCCTGCTGTGCCAGAACCAGGGCAAGTATGAGGAGGTGGAGTACTATTACTGCAGAGCACTGGAGATCTACGAGAGCCGCCTGGGTCCTGATGACCCCAATGTGGCCAAGACCAAAAACAACCTGGTGAGATGATGGCAAGAAGCAGTGTGTCCATGGAGAGTGGCTTGCGAGGCGAGCGTTGTGTGGAGGAAGTGGGGAGCAGGCTGGGAAGGGAGAAGGTTGACCTGTGGTCTGAAGGGCTGCTTAATCTGGCAGCAGGGCTGGAGCTGTGTTTTCTTGGTTGCAGGCTTCCTGTTACCTGAAGCAAGGCAAATACAAGGACGCGGAGGTGCTGTATAAGGAGATCCTCACCCGTGCTCATGTGAAGGAGTTTGGCTCTGTGGATGGTTTGTACAGCAGCTCTTGGAGCTGGGGAGGGATGTGAAGTTTGGTCTCCTGGCTCTCTGCCCTATCTTGGCAGATTCTGACCTCCCACTGGCAGGAGGGGGTGCCCTGTGAGATTGCTGCTTGGGGGAGCCCTTAAGATACTGTCACTCTTGTCTTGTGTCCCACCTTTCTCTGAGGAGGGTGTCTTAGAGCTCTGGCTCTCAGTCTTTGCCAGGTTGGTCACTTTTGTGCCTAAAAGAGGTAGCAGCAAGTGGCACAGCTATTCTCAGTGCGGACTACAGTCTCTGTTGTACTCCTGAATGGGTATTTCCCCCATGGGAGGATGTGTTCCTTACTTCCCTTGCCCTTGCAGTGTTACTTGTCCTCTTTGGTGCTCTGGCCAGTGCCTGGAGGCCTGGTCACCTTCCTCTGGTGAGCCACTGGCTTTGGGGATGGTCTTCACTGGGCTGGTCAGGAGGCATAGCCCCAAAGGAAGGAGCAGAGTGGCAGGGTGAGGTGGCGAGTGAAGCTTTGCTATGGTCTTCCCTGCAGATGAGCACAAGCCGATCTGGATGCATGCAGAAGAGAGAGAGGAGATGAGCAAGGTGAGTCTGAGCTGGTGTTGCAGCCTGCTGATAGCAGCAAGAGCCCTGGAAGGGGTAGGAGGTCCTGGGGTTGTGCTGCTCTCTCCCATTACAAACAGACCCTCCTTCCTGCAGCAGAAAAGGGCCAAGAAGAGTCCCTGTGGGCCCACAGGAGTGGGGAGAGGACATGACTGCTCCTTGGGGCTGTGAGATATGGAGTCCTGTCAAAGGGCCTGGTGTTCTTCCTGAAGCTGGAGCTTCCTCAGTCCTGCCACGTGCGCGTGTGCTCCCTCTTGCTTTAGCAAACCCTGTAGGGCACACAGATGGGCGATGGCAGATGGCAGTGCCACAGGGTGCTGGCCCTGTGCCTCAAATTGCTGCTGGTACTTGGAGTACTGCTCCTGAAGCACACCACAGGCTGCTGGGGAAAAGGGAGACTAAGAAGACACTGCTACTTGTCACCCTGCAAGCCTGGCTCTGGTCAGGGCTGGTCCCAGCTGCACTGTGTTCTAGCTGTTCCCCAAACAAAGGCAGACGGGTGTTGAACTTGGCTGAACTTATGCTTTTCACAAGCCCAAAACTTTTGTGTGCTTTTTTTTGCCAGGAGAGTGAAGAAGTGGGATGAAGGTCTCTGGGCTGTCTCAGTCTGCAGTGGGAGCAGATATTGGCTCTCCTCCTTGCCCCCTCCCCAGAGCCAAGGCTGTGAAGGCTTGGCTTGCAGGCCTGGCTTAGCCTTTCATCATTTCCATCCTGTGAACTCGAGAGCAGGGTCGGGCAGCTGCCTCCCACCGTCTCCTGCAGCCTCACTGCATCTTCCCATTAAACCGCTCTGTGGGGTCCCTGGTGCCCTGTGAGGACTCTGCCACACACAACTCATGTTGCTTCCTGCTATGGCACCACCTCCCACAGGAGCAGTCAAAGACTGGGCTCCCCTTGCCCTCGCTGGGGTTGAGCTGTTCCTTATGGTCTCTCTGGAGAGGTGGGAGATGAAACGTAGATGTTTCAGGGTGAAGCTGTGCTCCAGCTAGCCGGCTTTGCCTCAGGGGTGAGACATCAGGCTGCCTCTGTAGTAGTGTGGCCTTCAGGGGGGTACTTGGGGTAGAAGAGAAGAGCCAGGAATGATTCCTGGGGCCTTGTTTGGGCAGCAGTTTTAGGAGGAGACAAGTGCTGCTTGGCCAAGGGAGCTCAGAAGAGGAAGATTCATCTTGCAGCCTGGGCAATGGCTGAGGCTCTTCTCACAGCCCTGGGACTGGTGCTGCTGGGCCTGCTGCCTCCAAAGCAACTGTGGCCAAATGGTGCAGTTGGCGTAGCCCCTCGCAGCAGTGACCAGGGAAGGGCGACAGCAGCCCTGCTTGTGCTACTGGCCCATGGCCTGGTGCTTCTGCTCTCTGCTTTGTGTTGCATTTCCACATCTCCTATTAAAAAAAAAAAATCCTCCTTGCAGAGCTTCACTTCTTTTTTTTCCCTCACCCCCTTTTCCCCTGCATTCTCACTGGCAGCAGGGGCAGGGCAGCTTCCCTACCTGTGGCGCAGGGCCTTGGGGCTTCCAGCTCACTGAAACCTGTCCATAAAGGGCCAAGGTGTTTTGAACCTTGGGCTCTCTTGTCCTCTAGGGCTGCCCAGGCTTTAGGGAAGGAAATCGAAGCATCCCCCTTGGCTCAGGGAAGCTCCAGTGTGTGGCCTAAAGCTCCTAGGACTGGTGCTGTGACTGAGCAAGAGAGAGGACCCCTGCGAGGACTCTTCCTTTGGGACTCTAACCCTTCCTGGAAGGAAACCCAAAGCTTCAGAGCTTTAGCCCTCAGCACTTCCAGAGCCATGGGCCTTGGCGAGAGCAGCTCTGCTGTGTTTGGAGCTGAGCTGGATGCTGCCTATCCAGCCTGTGCATCATGTAGGTGCCCCAGGGTGCCGGGGCAGGCAGCCCCACTCCTGCAGCAGCGGTGACTCCTGCCTGCGTGTCCCATTCCCTTGGGTGACCGAAGCAGCGCTTGCCACCCAGTCATGCCGCCTGACTCTTTCTTCCCCTGTGTGTGGTGACATTATTTGTGTGTGTGTGTTGTAAAGGCAGCCCTGGGGTGCAGGGTGTATGACTTGTCATGGCTTGGAGGCTGCTCCCGGGGCCCAGTTTAGGCTGGAGAACTGCACAAGGCTAACACTTCTCCTCTCTCCTGGCTCTGCAGAGCAAGCACAGAGACAGCGCTCCCTACGCTGAGTACGGCGGCTGGTACAAGGCCTGCAAGGTTAGCAGGTAAGAGGAGGTGCAGGCTGCTGCAGGCTCTGGCAGGAGGTGCCTGCTGGGCTCCTCCTCACCTTCCCTCTGTCTCTGCAGCCCAACGGTGAACACCACCCTGAGGAATCTGGGCGCGCTGTACCGGCGCCAGGGCAAGCTGGAGGCGGCTGAGACCTTGGAGGAGTGCGCGGTTCGCTCTCGGCGGCAGGTAACCCTTGAGGGACCATCTGCAAGGCTCGGGGGACAATGCCATGCTGCAGCCTGCTGCCCCCACATGCCATTTGGCACAGTGGGCTGTCCTGTGCTTTATGGCCTCTCATGCCCTTAGGGTACATTCGCTCAGTGCTGGAACTCCGTAGTGGTTGTGGCTGTGTTTGCGTATGCAGTTGAGGCATGCAGGTGCTTGCATGCACATGGAGATGTGCAAGCTCATGCATGTGTAGGAGGGATGGACGTTGTGGGGTGTGTGTCTGCATGAGTGTGGAGGAAGCAGGCATATCTTGGTGCAGAATCACCCAGCTGGAGCAGGATAGGGACCCTGGCTTTGCCTGTAGCTGAGAATTTGTCTTGGATTCTTTTCTTCATGCTAGTTTCTAGCCTATGAGACTCCTGGGAGATTCAGGAAGGTTTTCCACTCCAAACTACTCTTGGTCCTCAAGCGGCAAAGCGGAAGCTGTTCATTCTCAGTATGGTGATGGAGGGACCGCAGAAACTTTCGTGTACTGACTCATGAAGGAGCAAAGCTGTGAGCTTTAATGCCACTTGCCCTTACCTCTTAGGGTGGCTGGTGGCTTGGAAGGGACTTTCTGAGATGGAGTGTGAACAGGGACTGCTGAGAGCTGAAGCATGGCTGTCTCTCTTGCCTAGGACGCTTTGGGCTATGATGGGGCAATGGTCAAAAGATGGACAGAACCAGGCAGAGCGATGGCACTGGAGGGGAAGGAGGGTGGAAAGACAAAGCCATTAGCGCTGCCTTGTGCCTTTCTGCTTGCAGGGCATTGACCCCATCAACCAGACCAAGGTGGTGGAGATCCTTAAGGAAGGCAATGGAACAGAGCGGCGGCGGAGCCTGGGCGGCAGCGTCAAGTACGAGAATGCCACAGACGGTAGCGAGGAAGTGAGTATGGGCGTGGAATGGAGCGGGGTAAGTACAAGACACCATCAAGAACGGCCTCGGCTGGCTGCCGGAGGCAGGAGACAGCCTGGCTCAGGGCTCTCCCCACGTGGCCTGTCGTGGCATCCTTGTCTGCCTCCATTTGTTCCCTGCACACTTCCCTCTTCTCTTTCTTGGCATGAGCCAGCAGGCCCACAGAGGTGCGTGTCTGGGCCTGGCTTCTGTTTTATATAGGCCAGGTACTACCAGCTGATGACTCCTCCTTCAAAGAGGTGCTGTCAGGCCCTGGCGATACACAGCATGAGCTGGTCCTGGCCTGCCTTTAATCTTACCCCGACACTGTTATTAACAATCTCTCCCTGCTACTCACCTCTTGAGACCCCTTGGCTGAGAGCACCGGCTCCTTCTGAGGCCCACGCAGCCACAGCAAGCCACAGGACTTCTTGCTGGCTGTCCTGCACCGTGCCATGGGCAGCCTGAGGCTGGGGAGGGTTGTACCTGTGTGCGCCTAGTGACTGTAGGCACAGGGGGCATAGTCCACAGCTCATATCTCTTTCTGTCGCCCTCTCCTGGTCTTGTGCCGTCCGTGGGCTCTAGTCAAGCAGAGAGGATAAAAGGCTGGTTCTTGCTGGAAGCTAGGCTGACCAGTGATGGTGAAGGAGGACAGCGTTAGTCAAGACTTGAGCAGGGTGATTTGAAGCTGCGTAGGCTTGCTCTGATACTGAAAAGCACTCTGGTCATGAGCTCTGAGTTTGGAGGAGTGTAGTGGTCCAGGTCTGAGACAAGTGATTTTTCAATCTCTGTAAAGAGGATGGAGGAGCAGCATGTGAGCATTGCGCTTGATGGGTGCTTGGCTTGAGGGCTACAAGAGCTGTTAATGCTGCCTGTGCCTTGCTGGGGCTCTAGCTGGGACTGTAGTGGAGCTAGTAGCTATGGGTGGTTGTGGACACAGGCAATGCACTGAGAACATAAGTCACTCCCTCCTCGTGTCTGCTGTCACTAACTCTTCCCCCATGTGGCTCACCTCTATCCCCCCTGCATGATGAGCTCCCTCCCTTCCTCCTTCCTCTTCTCTGTTGCCATGACAGCCCCTCGGATCCAAAGCCTGAAGCCGCTGGCTCTCTTGATTGTGGATTGTACCCAGGAGGTGGCTAGAGGGGACCTTGGGGAGCGCAGCTGCAAAGGGACCCAGAGGGTCCTCTAGATGCAGCACTGTACCCTGTCCCAATCCTAAGGAGGCTCCTAGCCCTGGCAAGGTGCCAATGTTGGGCCTTGTGCCCCCTGTCGCCAGAGGGGCTGGATGAGTGTGGAGGGAGGGCTGTGGGTTGAGGTTAGGATACTAACCTCGGCTGTCCTTACTGTCCTGGCCAGTATCCCTCTGCAGCTCTTCCTGGCTCTGCTGCACCTGGTGGCTTCCCCTTCCCGGTGGTCTTTGAGCCGCTCATGCCACCCCCTCCCACAGCCTAGCCAAGAGCATTTGTGCTGTCCCTGCACACGTGTTCCTTCCCCAGGGGCCTCTGGCCCAGCCACTGCTAGGATTTGGGAGCTAGCTCAGCACCTGGGGATACAGGCACTGACACATGTTCCCAGCTGCCTTCCCTGGGCTGCTGCAGGAGTAACCAGCTCCCCCTCCCCAGCGCTCAGCCCCCTGGAAAGGAGGCTAAGACGGGTCCTCCTGCTCCTGCCTGTCACAGCTGTTCCTCTCTGAGCTGGCTGTCCCCACCTGCCTGCTGAGGGTGCTGGCCAGGATGTAAGCCCCAAGTACTCCAGCCCCCCCAGTCTCCCTCAGTGTCCGCAGTGTCCCTGTGGGCAGCCTGGGCATTGCCCTGTGTGCCGCTGGGGTTACCTGCATCCTCATGGCCTTGTAAATTGTGTCTTTCTTCTCTCCGTGCACTAGGCTTAAATGCCTCCCAAGACTCCCTCTTTCCCCTCCACCGCAATCACCTGGATGTTTGTGTTGTACCTTCCGACTTTTCCTCCACACCATCCCTCCTTCCTCGTCAAGATCTCCGCGCCAGTCCCCCAACCTTCCCAGCGCGCGAGGCCACCGCAGCGCCTGCAGAGGAGTTCAGGGCCCAGCTCCAGTCCTGTGGCCATCAAGAGCAGGAAGAAGCGGCACGGAGCTGGCTGCTCCCCCAGTCGTCCCCTTGTGTGTCACCACCCCCTCCCCAGCCTGCCCTTGCACCTCCCCAGGGAGCTGGGCATCACGCCTGCAGGGACTGTCTTCGTTCCGACATCACCGTCATTAGATGTCCTCAACTGTCCTAGCTTGTCCCCTCCGTCTCTGAAGAAGACAGGATGGAGGCGTGAAGACAGGGGATGGTTTTGGAGACGCAGGGGCCTCGTCTTGGCAGGGCTGCTCTGTACACGGTCGCTTCCTTCCCCGTATGCTTAGCTGATGTTGGTGCCTCGCTGGCGCTGGCCTCCAGAGTGCCAGGCTCTCTCTGTGGCTCGGGGCTGCGGGTGTCCCTGTCCTTCTGCTGCGGCTGAGCCCCACCACCCAGGGCAGCACGTGGACCTCTCTGCGGGGCGTTGGGATGGAGGGTGCTCGCAGCAGCTGTGCAGCCATGACAGGGTCAGAGGTGGCAACAGCCCATAGCCCTGCGTGGAACAGGGATCTGCTCGAACAAGTACACTTGCTTGTGGCTTCCTGACTTGATGCATTCACATAGTCCCTTGACTGTTGGCATTGAAGGGTGGATGGGAGAGGGAGAGGTGAGGGTAGAGCTGTTTGCTGCTTAAAGGCAGATGGAGGAAGAATAAGAAGAAAGCACATGGGGAAGCTGAGGAAGGGTGAGTTAGATGAGTGGACAGTGAGGTGGATTGAGAACTGGCTGGATGGCAGAGCCCAGAGAATCGTGATAAATGTGGCTGAATCTAGTTGGAGGCCTGGGGCCAGTGGTGTCCCCCAGGGACCAGTACTGGGCCTGGTACTGGTCAACTTGTTCATCAGTGACTTGGATGAGGGCACAGAGGGCACCCTGAGCAAGTTTGTGGGCAATACCAACCTGGCTGGAGTGGCCGACACTCCCAAGGCCTGCGCTACCATTCAGAGGGACCTAAATGGGTTGGAGAGTTGGGCAGAGAGGAACCTCCTGAAGCTCAGCAAGGACAAGTGCAGGGTCCTGGACCTGGGGAGGAATAACCCCAGGCACCTGTACAGATTAGGGGTTGACCTGCTGGAAAGCAACTCCATGGAGAGGGATTTGGGAATCCTGGTTGACAATAAGTTAACCATGAGGCAGCAATGTGCCCTCATGGCCAAGAAGGCCAATGGGCTCCTGGCTGCATCAGGAGGAGCGTTGCCAGCAGGTCAAGGAAGGGGATCCTGCCCCTCTGCTCAGCTCTGGTGAGGCCGCACCTGGAGTATTGGGGGCAGTTCTGGGCTCCCCAG